ACTAGCTTTGAACCATGATGCTCCTGAATAGCTAGGATCACACATGTGAGCCACCACAGTTGGCTTGTACAGGGCTCTTAACAGGATGTACCCCAGGCACAGACGGGACTCAGAGACCTTGAAGGTTTTGCCACACCTCTCAATTTTTCATTCCTTAGATCCTGCACTCTGTTCACTGCACCCCAGAGAAACGTGGACCTGCTCAGGTGACTGTGGGGAGGGCCATGCTTCAAGATCCAGGGTACCCAATCTTAACCAGGCACTAATTTACCTGGACCAGACATGTGGCAGGAGGTATCTTCCTTAAGTCTCAAAACTATCCTGTGAAATAAATTCAAGGCGCATTTGCAGATAATAAAAGCTTAGCACATTTCAATCTGTGTGTTTTCAAAGCCCTCTCTTTCAAGACTATAATCTTGGAAATGATGAAACATCCCAAAGAGCTTTTGTTATGTGGGTTATATTTACTTACATTAGAGGAGAGAGGGGGAAGGAGGGAGGGAGGGAGGGAGGAAGGGAGGGAGGGAGGGAGGAACCTCTAAGCTTAAAAAATATTATATGAATTTATTAATTAATGTGGAAATAACAATACAACTCATATGTTATCATAAATAACCTATCTAGACAGAATCATGGCCATATTTAGATGATTGCAAATCTCTTTACTATGCACAATGCAGGCTCTCAAAAACTCCTCTGTATACCCATGAGAGAAGCAACGGGAAACGGGAAAATAACACCTTGTATCTTACGGAGAATCCCCAGGGATCCCAGGAACATATTTTGAGCACCACGGGCTGAGATAATTTGCTTGTGGGTTTACAGCTGAGGTAAAGCAGTGGGGACAAGATGCCACCCCAGGCCTACGCGACCTTCAAGGGTCCTCTAGGCTTCCCCTCCACATGCAGTGCAGCCCTCACTTAACCTCCAAGGCGTCAGGGGCCTCCTTGGTAAGATGAGAGGGGAAGGGAGCGTGCGTGGCCTGTGGTGCTCTGGCGCTGACACTTTGCCAGTCTGTCTGAATGATGACAGGCTGGCAGCAGTGATTTTCAAGCTTAATCTCGTCCTGGGAATCCATGGCTGGTGTGCTTCAGTGGGCTGGAACAGTGAGGCAGCAACCAGAGGACAGGAGAGAAAGAAAGGGGGAATTTTTTCCATTCTATGTCCTCCAGAGAAGTCAGCTTTGCAAGTCCCAACCTTTCCTGGAAGCCTTTTCTGGAAAGCTGGCATTCTATCATTTGAGTCACACTTCGACTTACTGCTGCTTTCTTCTGGTGAATGGGGAAAAATGTCTCAGACTTTCCTGTCCTGGTTGGCTTCAAATCTTGATCCTCACATCTCAGTCTCCTGTGTAGCTGGTGTGAGTCTGGTTCTCCTAGTCCTACTGATTGCCTTCAGAAAGAGTTCTGAAAGTGGACCTCTCTACATTCTACTCTTTCTACCCATTTTGCTTCACTCTGCTGAGCAGAGAACGTCTTACCAAAGAGCATTTCAGGTGAGCAGAATAGAGTAGATGAGGTCACAGAAACAGACAGGAACAGGAATAGAAACTTTGGATAGTGTAACAAATCTAGCTTAAAAAAACTTTTCGTATAACATCTTTAATTAAAGTTTTTGCAAAGGTAAAACATTAAACTTAAAATAGGTCTTAGTACATCAAAATACTAAGTTTTCTAATTGTATTCCAAGATGGTCTTTAAAATGTAATGTCCCATATATCACAGAAGAGCAACATTGATCTGCAATTGTACAGAATGAATTTTACAAACACAATAAATATATTTATGTCCTCACACATAACAGTATGTATGTACGAGAGCAGTTGACAATAGTAGCTCAGAACAGCAAAAAGGATTAGCTTTCTCTCCACAAGGTGTAGCCCTGATCTATACTGGACTGATTTAAGAAAACTTGCCTGAAAGAATAGTTACAATGTAATTACAATGTTAAGTAGTTCTTCCTTTAAAAGGAAATGACAAATCTAGCATTTTAACTGGTCCTTTTGATTCAGTCTTTCCTCACTGTTACTTATTCTGACATTATCAATGCTAGATTAACCTTTTTTGGTATTTATTTATTTATTGTTGGTTGTGGGGCTTGGACTCTGGGCCTGGGCGCTGTCCCTCTGCTCTGCAGCTCAAGGCTAGCGCTCTACCACTTGAGCCACAGCACCACTTCTGTGATTTGTGGGAGATAATAGTCTCACAGACTTTCCTGCCTGGGCTGGCTTTGAACCATGATCCTCAGATCTCAGCCTCCTGAGTAGCTAGGATTACAGGCATGAGCTACGGGCACCCCGCTGCCAGATTAATCGCGAATGTCTTCTTCCCTGCCTTCTTCCTGGTTGAAATAGAACATCCTGGCTTGGCATTCAAGATCCTTTGCTACTGACTGGTAGCAATACAGTATTCTTTTCTAAGCTTGATTTTCCATTGTCTCCTTCATGCTTACTTGTCATGCCTCTAATGCTCATTCACCCTTACATTTGGGCTATCACTTTCCCCTAACATGGGACCTGCTTCAGGAAGCCAGGCTTGCCTGTTCAGCCCACAGGGTATCTCTAGCCTCACATCCTAGCACATCCCATCATCATACCATCCGTGGCTGTTATTGGTCCAAGGGAAGCTCTCAGCCCTATCAGGACAGAAGCTCCCTGAAGGAGTCACAGCATCTCATGGATTTTCATTGCCTATTCTGTCTGGTTCCTGTTGTCCACTGGATGCTGAAGTGGCCAGAACTTGATGGCTTGATCCTGACACGTGCAGGAACTGGAGCTGTGGATATCAAGGTACCACAGGAAAGGGCAACATAGGACACTGAGTCAGAGAAGTTGCCTTTCATCTCCCACAGTGAATACCACAAATGCAATGCATGCTAAGGACATTGTAGAGCAAAAGGACTTTTGTTTCTTTTTTTTATTTTTTTGGGTCCAGTCATGGGGCCTGAACTCTGGGCCTGGGCGCTGTCCCTCAGCTCTTCAGCTCAAGGGGAGCACTCTACTACTTGAGTCACAGCGCCACTTCTGGCTTTTTTTCTTTTTGCTTATGTGGTACTGAGGAATCAAACCCAGGGCCTCATGCATGCAAGGCAAGCACTCTACCATTGAGCCACCTTCCCAGCCCCGCAAAAGGACTTTTGATAGAGAACTTACTCAAATCAAGACATAACAAATGCACAAGGCAGAACAATCTAGGCTCTGTTATGAAACTGGACACACCAGCCTTTCTGATGTTCTAAACTTGAGAGTCCTGTCTATAAGAGCAATGTGACATTTTTGTAGAGTAGCTACTCAGAACAGACACATTGTAGAGGTGCTTTGAACATGCATAGAGCACTTTCTCTCTCTCTCTCTTTCTCTCTCTCTACCTTTTAGGTTTTTTTTTTATTCTGGTAGTTAATTGCAGATAAGAGTCTCACAGACTTTCCTGCACAGGCTGGCTTCAAACTGTGATCCTCAGATCTCAACCTCTTGAATAGCTAGGATTATAGGTGTGAGTCACTGGTGTCCGGCTCTCAATGTTTTTAAAATACCAAAATTTCCAGTCCAACATGATTTGGATTATTGTAGAAAACTTGGTTATGGTCCTTTATGGAGTTACAAGGACTAACTAGCTAGCTATTAGAATATGAGGGAGAGGGGTCCCCTTTGCTGTTACAAGGATGTTTCCTGACCTGTTGCTGCCATCTGGTGGCTAGAAGATTACAATGCAGTTTAGTCTGCTTGAATAGTGAAGTCCTAAATAATGGAAATTTAGGAGAATGTGGGGTGCATGAGGTATTTGAGGACTGTGGAAATCTTGGAGGATACAATAATATGAGGCTGAGCTCTGTATGAGAATGATGACTTATAGCCTATGGGAAGTATGAGCACTCTATTTCAGAGTCTTTACTTAAAGAGTCTCATTATGTAGCCTATGCTGGCCTTGAACTCACAACTTAAAATCTTCCTGCTTCAGCCTCCTGAGTGCTAGATCACATATGTGAACACCACATTTGGCTGTCTGTAGTCTTTTAGCACATGTATGTAGCTAGTATGTGAAAGCACATACTAGTTTTAGAGATCTCCATGCGGTTGCTATCTTTCTATCCCATCAAGACATATGACCTTTCTTTTTAGGCCTTTGTATCCTCAGTCTATCTAGGGTGCTTTGTCTCCCCTCCTGCTGCTCATCTGATTCCTGTCCTCTGGTCCATTAGCTTTCAGCCTAAGCATTACTTCCTTACCTACAGGGTCCTCAGATCCCAGCTGTGTGAGTAGCCAGGATTACAGGTGTGAGCCACAAACTCACAAATAGATTCTTCTTAAAGTAACCCAAACACAGTAGGCTGAGAGTATGGTTTAAAAAAAAGATTGCTACTTTAGTTTGGATTTCATTTGAAAAGAGAGTTAATTTGTTCCAAATTCAGAAAAGATAAAAAAGGAAAAATTATCACTTTAGAGTATGATATTTTTAAATTTTGCTAACCCATTAAGTTGGAGGATGAGAGAAAAATACTTGGTGCTTTCAAGTCATTTTTTGGAGAGTAAATAGTTTTTATCACCAGCATTTGTTGGAGAGGAATTCAGGGCAGGGGTCCTGTCCCATTCCAGTGATCTATAACTGAGAGTTATAGCTCAGAGCACTTCAAGGTGCTCTGAGCTCCCAATAACCACAATATTCAATAATCAACACATGCCCAGTTGAGGGGAAGTTGGACTTTATAATCAATTTGCAATTCCTTGTAGACTTGAGCATTTCCTCTGTTAATGCAGAAACCAGAAGATTCACAGGAAGGAGACATTAACCGCTCAGAAGCTGAGTCCTGCCAAAGAACAGCTGGAAGAGAAGTGAGGGTGGAGGAGGGGAGCAAGGTCGGTGGGTAACATCTGGCATTGCAGGAAGCTGAGTGATTGATGGGACTCCTCTTCAGACTCCAGGCTCCAGGATGGTTCCAAGATGGCCCGTGGGCTGCCAGGTCTTCTTCATCTCAATGGAGATTCTACCAAGAGACGTAGATCTTTATGCCAGCAGCATCGCTTCTGGTTCTGTGTTCTGATTGCCTTTGTCTTTGGTAAGTTTCCAGAGTGCAATGGGTAGAGTGACCAGAGTTATGAGGAATAGGAAGAAGAAGAGAACTTGTATTAGGTAGCCAGGGTCAGATGTGGCAATAGCGAATGTTTTCTTGTCCCACAGGAAGTCTGGGAGCTGTGGGAAAGTCATAGGCTTCTGAAAGGAGGCGGAGACATGTACTGCTCACACAACCAGAAAAGCATCAAGAGGGCTGGACTTGCTCTTTGTTATATCCCTGGAAGAATGTGTGAAGCCGCAGCCAAATACCTTCTTTCCTCACAGGAGGCCATTCTCCTCTGGATTAAAGGAAAAGCCAGAAAAGTTTTTTCAGCAACCTTGACCAACGACTTTCAAGAAAAGATGGGGGACTGGGAAGGTGGCTCAGTGGTAGCGCGCTTGCCTTGCATGCATGAGGCCCTGGGTTAGATTCCTCAGCACCACATAAGCAAAAAGAAAAAAGCCAGAAGTGGTGCTGTGGCTCAAGTGGTAGAGCGCTAGCCTTGAGCTGAAGAGCTGAGGGACAGTGCCCAGGCCCAGAGTTCAGGCCCCACGACTGGACCCAAAAAAAAAAAGATGGGATAATTAGCAAACTTCTAGCAGGGTGAGGGGAAGGTACTTGGTGAAGGTGAGGCCCACTTGATCTAAAAGTTCCCATTCAGAAACCTCTGCCCTCAAAAAAAAAAAAAGAAAAGAAAAAAAGAAAAAAAATAAACCTCGGCCCTCTGTGCATCCCCTCCTGCATGCTAGACCTCTAGATGCAAAGGATGCTCTCTAACTACCTGTCAAGACTCCCAATTCCATTATCTTTATACAACCTTATTATTTTGAATGTGTGTGTGTGTGTGTGTGTGTGTGTGTGTGTGTGTGTGTGTGTGTGTGTTACTGGGACCTAGACTGTTAGGCTTTTTACTCAAAGCTAGTGCTCTACCATTTGAGCCACATCACCTCTTTTGGCTTTTTGGTGGTTAATTGGAGATAGGAATCTCATGGACTTTCCTGGTTTTGAACCCTGATCCACAAGTCTCAGCTTCTTGAATAGTTAGGATTATAGGCATGAGACATTAGTGCCAGGCTCAGTGTTTTTTTTTTTTTTTAAACACATCATTACCATCTCGTTTTAAACAATTTCCAACCTTCTCTCATGAAGAAACCTTATACCATTCATACTTTTATTGTCCCTTGTTTCAAGGATATTGATCTCTTCTCCCAACCACACTGAGCTTCTTAATCTTTTGTTTTCCTCTGTCATCCTCCAGTCCAGTGCTTCACACAAAGCTGTGCTTTGACTATGAACCCCTAACTCACTTTAGACAAGGAATTCATAAACCTTTACAACTGGCACTCAATTATCTGTGAGAGTTCTGGACTGGGTTGCTTCCCTTCACTGCCAAGGTTGAGTACTGGACCTGCAGGAAAGCCTATACACTCGATCTTCCTCTACACCTACTATCAAGAAAGCAAGGCTGAATCATTCATTATTTTTATTTATTTATTTGTTTGTTGGTTGTGGGGTTTGAACTCTGGGTCTGGGAGTTGTCCCTGAGCTCTTCAGCTTAAGGCAAGTGCTCTACTACTTGAGCTACAGTGCCACTTCCTGATGGTTAATTGGAGATCCTGCTGGATGGTCCTCAGATCTCAGCCTCCAGAGAAGCTAGGATTACAGGCGTGAGCCACCGATGTCCGGCTTTCTTCATTTATTTTTAAAGAGGCAGAGCCCAGAAATGGAGTCCCATTGAAGAGCCAGGCAGCTTGAAGTCTCTAGAATCCTGCTCCCTCGTGCAACCCCCATTTATTCTTGGCCCCATTGAAGAAGGCATCTTAGAAACCCAGTAGATAAAAGAAATGGCATGTAGTATGTGAGAACTTTTTCTCTACCTCCCTAATGATTTCTTTCTTGACATAGACTGTATTAAGCTAAGGCTTCTGGCCACTCTCCACAATGGCTTCCTCCCTCCTAACAGAATGACCCCGTGTGAGAGGTCTTCAGTTTTCCGTCAATAGTTACGATGGGTTGAGTCAGTTTACTTCTGAATTGTTTTTTGTTGGGCTGCCCACCAAGATGGTTCTCTACCAGTTATTTGAGGAGAAAGGTGGATCTACATCTGCCTCACTTCTCATCTTGACTGCCAGATATTCAAGCAGGTATCATGGACCACGTAAATCTCAAACACGTGAGTCCTCCATGAACTCTGGGCCAGGTCTGAGTCTTCTCATCTAGATGAAGGTCACAGTCTCATGAGCCTCCAGCTTCCCATGTCTCTTGGGCCCTGAGAACATTTAGTTTAAATTTCTAAGGTAGACGAGAGAAAATTAAAGTTTTCTGAGATTCCATTAAGATGCTAGCCTATGTGCTTTGACGTGTTATTTTATGTATGTATGTATGTATGTATGTATGTATGTATGTATGTATGTATGTTCTATGTATGTATGTCAGCTGTGGGGCTTGAACTCTGGGCCTGGGTGCTGTCCCTCAGTTCTTCAGCTCAAGGCTACTGCTCTACCACTTGAGCCACAGCTCCACTTCTAGTTTTCTAGTGGTTTATTGGAGATAAGAGTCTCATAGATTTTCTTGCCCTGGGTTGCTCTGAACTGGGATTTTCAGATCTGAGCCTCCTGAGTAGCTAGGATTACAGGCGTGAGCCACCGGGACCCACCATGTTATTTTATTTATAACAACAGCCATGAGAGACAGTAATAACAATAATTTGTTACATTCTTTCTTTCTTTCCACCAGCTTACTGGCCTATCTGTTTGACATGAATCAGCTTACTTTGTCCTCTCAGGTAACAGATGCCATGAGACTGAGAAAATTGTTTCAGGTCATGGAAAAATTAGTTTTGGAATCAGGCATTTAATTTAGGATTAAAAACAAATTCAAGGCTCTTTTTCTTAATGCGCTTTCTATTATAGGGTTATTTTATCTCTCAGAAACCTAAGGTAATTAGTTGTCCTAGTTTTATTTTTAAGTAAAAGTTATATATGTATGTGTGTATATACATAAATATATAATAAACATTTGCTGTTTAATTATATATAGATATACACACACATACAAATGATTACTATAGTCAAGCAAATGTACATATCTACTTCCTTAAGTAGTTACCTTTCCTTCCTCCCCCCAATGCTAAGAGAGTATGGAAATCTATTCTCTTAGCAAAGTTCCCGCATAGTGTGTGACATTGTCAGCTTATTTTGAATCGGCAAAATCCCATTCTTAGGTGCCTGTAATGATTCTTAGGCCCTCAACTAATTACCAGCTCAGTCTTTCACTCAAGGGGAAAATATTGACCACTTCTGTCTTTCCCTAAACCGCTGAAGAACTTTCCCCTCTCCTCTTCCCTTCCTCCCTGTGGTCTGAGCGCTGCTGATGCAGGAGGTGTTCTGCGGGCAGTCTTCCCATCAAAGCTGCCATGTCCTCATCATCTCAATCAATATTCTCCCAGCCCACTGCAGTTGTTCTTTCATTCATTTATTCACGTACTCCTCCCAGCACATTTATTGAAAATCCGTTTGCAAAAGAGATGGAGCTCAGAGCTCTGGGAGAAACCACCATACATCAGAGATGAAATCTGGAGGAGCTCATAGGATAATGTGTGGTGGGGCTGTCAGGCTGAAGTGGAGACAGAAGTATGATTCTTCACCAGTACAGGGGATAAGGGGGGAAACAAACGCATAGCGAATGCTTCATTTTAATGTGATTGCCAGCTATGTGTGTATTATCTCACTTAATGTTCAAGGCGCCGGCGTTCCTCCCTGAAGCTGTGTTTTGAATCTTATCCCTTTTGGTTTAGGGAGTCTTCTTTCTCTATGTTTTTAATCTTTTTCCTCTTCCCCCCTCTTCCTCTTCTCCTTCTTTCTCCTTCTCTTCTCCTTCTTTCTCCTTTTACTTCTTCTCTTCTCATTTTCTCTTCTTCTTCCTCCTCTTCCTCCTCTTCCTCTTCTTCCTTCTTCTTTCTTCCTTCTCCTCCTCTTCTTTTTTTTCCCTGTTACCAGGGCTTGAACTCAGAAATTTGCATTTGCTCAGCTTGTTTGTCCACTTTTGTTTTTTTTTTTAACTCAGTGCTTTGCATTTGCTCAGCTTATATGGCATTTGAACCATTCTTCCCGCCTGGCTTTTTATTTACCTAAAATTTTTTTCTTTATTGAAATTGTGATTACATAAATGTTACAGTATTGTGGTATAGTGATACTTAGCTAAAGCCACAAACACATTTTTAACCTTCACAAGGTGAATTGTCATTATCATGGTCTATAAAGCTTATCGACTCTACAAACTTTGACACTACAACTATTTTTTTCAAGCCAGGTGATATGTACATTTCTTTCCTTTTGCCTAGTGTGAGCTATTCCCTTTCTCGTTCCCTCCCTCCCATCGTTGCCCTTGAGTTGTTAGTTCACGTTCATCAATGTCCAGGGCAGCTGATGGGCCCCTCTGTTGTATTTTTGTATTTTTTTCACCTGTTATCCTAGGATTCTGTACCCTTCTCCTAGCCTCCCTTAGATGCGCACATGTATATACCGTATGTGAGGTCAAGAACATGGAGTCATCTAAAAGCGATGAAACAAATTAAGAAGTGGTCCTTTGTTTCTTAAGTCCTGTTTGCTTTGTCATATCTCCTTGCATTTTGAATTTAACATCTACATATTAGGGAGACCATGTGCCATTTGTCTCTCTGATCTTGGCTTGTTTTGCTCAACATGATTTGTTCTAGTTCTGTCCATTTCCCTGCTAATGCCATTATTTTGTCCTTTCTAATGGCTGCGTAATATTCCATTGTATATAGGTACCACCAGTATTTGTTCTGATCTGAATTTAGGATATGGGCCATTCTGACTGGGGTAAGGTGGTATCTCAGGGTTGTCTTTATTTGTATTTCTTTTACAGCCAGGGCTGATAAACATTTCCTTATGTGTTTCTTTGCCATTTTTATCTCTTCTTCTGAGAAGTCTCTCTTTATCTCCCTTGCCCATTTAATGATTGCTTTGTTAGATTTGGGAGGGATTAGATTCTTTTTTTTTGGGAGGGGGGTCCAGTCATGGGGCCTGAACTGTCTCTCAGCTCTTCAGCTCAAGGCTAGCACTCTACCACTTGAGCCACAGCGCCACTTCCGGCTTTTTTCTTTTTGCTTATGTGGTGCTGAGGAATC